CTGTATACCAGAACAAGTACTTGATCTTTGTGACTTTTTAATATTTTTAACTTACTTATTCAAATAAATCAGCATAATTTTTGATGTTTCTGTTTTCTGTCCACWATACACATCAGTGTTATAGTATTTACAGTTGTTTGAAAAATAAATTCGTAAGGTAAACAACATAGATATTCAATAAATTGTACTTTATTGCTTGAGTATTTTTGATGTTTTCTAGAGACAGGCTCTTATTTTGAAATCCCTCACTTCTGTGTTGTTAATTTCTCGCGCATGCGTACTAAATAATTACGACTACTTTAAAACCTCAGAGTTTCGTAAATAATTCTGTTTATTGTTGCTATAGTTAGTGATTAAAAACTCTGTTAAAGGTCGTCCGTTTTACTTCATTCGCCTTACCGGAAGTAGTTTTATTTTGTCGGCTCAACAGTGACGTGGGAAGATAAACAAACGCAAGAGGCGAGGCAGCTGCGTTCAACCTGTGTCCTCTTGACTTTTCCGTTCATTTGATTTCAATAATGCAGTCTTCCAAGAGGAGTGAGAGCGACTGGCAGGGACTAGTCAGCGAGGTAAGTGARGAGACGGAGCCCGAAAGCAGCTGCTGGAGACACGGACAGGGTGAGGTTTAACTGATGCTCCCCGGGCTCCATATGGAACCAGCAGCGTGTCTCTGCTGGACGGACGAATAATATAAAATCAGCTGCTTTGGTCATAATCTCTGCTTCTTGCTTTGTACGGCTCTTATTAAAGGCCAGTAACACCCTGCAGGTGGAAACGAGATGTTTTAATCAGCTGTGGGCCCAACTGGTTAATAAAGCATCTTTTCTAAAGATAGATAAGGATATTTCTGTGTCACAAAAATGGCAATCAGTCAATCAACCTCAGACACTCAACACCTCAGATCTTGAATGGAGCTACAAAACAATGGTAATTTTAAATTTGTTTTTATTTTTGTTGTATGCTTCAGAAAACCTGGTGTTTTTGAGAAAACCCTAGTTGTTTTTCTTTTAATGGTGCCACATTTATTTTAAAAA